ATATATATATATATATATATATAATATTAATAATGTTGTATCACAAATTTAGAGTATTACAAAAAGAAATATGATATTTTAAAGAGAAATTTAAACAAAAAAGATTAATTTAAATATACCGATATATATTATAAATTTATTGACTTTTTGTAATAACAACTACTTTAAAAACTAAATCTAATACAATTTATAATTTACTAACATAGTTTACAAAAATTAAACTCTTAAAATAAAATTAAAAAGTTGTTCAGAGATGAGCCAATTTGAGTCCAAATTCATTCATATTTGGACGGTTCCAACTAGATTGGTTCATTGTGCAAAAGACGATATTTGTTCCCCTGTGGGAGAAACAGACACACAAAAATGGTTTCTTGGAACTCATTTCCTTTAGAAGTGATCTACCAAGTGTTTGGTTGGTTAGCTTTCCTTTCATGGTCTGTTGCTGGCTACCCACAAATCATCTTGAATTTTCGTAGGAAAAGGTTGTTTTTTCATGTTCTATTTTCATTTATGTTTCTGTTTTTCCTTTGGGGTCTTAAGTGTTTTTGGTTGGTTTTGTAATCTAACTCAGTGTGGTGGGCTTAAGCTTGGATTTTGAGATTCTCAACTTCACCAAACACTGGTCATATCTCATATACAATGCTTCCCTCTTCTTTAGTCCTGTTATTCAAAAGCAGTATTTTCAAAAGTATGGTTATGGACAGGTATGTTCCCTTCAACTGATCCAAGAGTTCAATCTTTGATGCAATGGTTCATAAGTTTATAATATTATTTAATGATATGGTTTGATTCTGGTAACAGGTTAAACTAAGAGTTACTATAAAATTTCTTTCCAAGAAAAAAAAAATTATACTGTATGCAAACTAATCAAGCATCATCTCTGCTGTGCCGAGTTTTATCACTGTAAAACATTTTATACTCTCCATTAATCAGAAATCATCCAGGAAACATTTAAAATAGATAATATATAAGTTAACAGATTTTGTCAGCTAATAATAATAATAAAAATAATATTTGTTTATCTGTTATATTATATAATCATTTTAAAGTGTCAGGACCATCCAAATAAAAGTCAACAAATTTATCTACTTACTTGATAATAACAAAATCAATATTTTTTTATCCCTATTATATCAGATCATGTGTTAGAGACTTTGCACTTGGAAAAAAATCAATAATTTTATTCCCTTTTAAAGCGTGTTCTTTAAGACTTTAGATACAAATTAACTTACAAAGACTTTAAGAATTTCAATGGCAAGACACTTAAACTTTTGAAATAGGTAACAGTATAATACAACACAAGAAGAAGTCACCAATGAATAGCCAAGAAATATGTAAATCAACTATGTTTCTTGGTCCTAAATCATTAGATATTCACATTATCTAGAATTTTGCCTTATGATCTCTTGTTATTGCAGATGATTCCTGTAGCTGCTAATGATGTTGCTTTCTCCACTCATGCAGTCATAGTAAATTTAATTATATTGTTCCAAATTGTAATGTTTGAAGTAAGTTTAATCAATGACCATACTTTTTAGCTCTTATACTAATTCAAAGATAGATAGTAAATGAGATGCTTATTTGCAGCGTGGAAGTCAAAAGTTCTCCAACTATGCTATTGCAATAGTTGTTGTTGTGTGGTTTAGTGCTGCTGTTTGTTTTTTCATAGCATTGCCCACTCAATCTTGGCTTTGGTTAATCTCCATTTTCAAGTAAGTTTCTCTCGTATTATGACTCAAATATTTTTAACCAATCCACAAGGATTTGAAAGTTAAATAAGTTCTTTTGAGTATTGGCCCAATAATTTAATTATACTAAAAATAAAATGGCATCATATATTCGTTCTTTCACTTTTTAAACCATTACTTCTATTGTGGTTGCTTAGCTTCTTTTAAGTTGTTCGTGCGTGTACCTTTTTCACTTTATCAGAATCTCAATATGCTAGAGAAAATACATTGAGAAAATTATCATAAATAAAGTCATATTTCATTTTTTTTTCAAAGAACCACGTCTTTTACACAGAAATCATCATATTTTACTCTGTTCTCATGTTTTTAACATTTCTTTTTCTTTAATTTTAATTGGGACTCAAATATAAATTTATCATTGTAAACCACTAGCCATAGTAGCACTCAATTGAGATTCACAATAACAACTCTGAGGGTTCAGTCCAATTTACAGAGTTTGAGTAATTCATATAGTTTATTTGATAAAGTTTTCTATTGTCTAGCCAATTAACTTCTCAAGACTCAACGAATTTGATATTTCATTTGTCTCATTCTCTTTGTTTTCATAATGAGATTCTTGCACTTGTTTACTTTTTAAGATTCACAGTATAATATTATATGTATCTGAGTGTTGGGGGTAAATAATATGCCATTGCCACTGGACTTAGAAAACTAAATGGTCATGCTCAAACATGACTTAAAGAAATTTCAAATAACTATGAAGTTGAAGCTGTGATTAAATATTATCGTGCAGTCTCTTCACACATCTACAAACAGTGACGTCACTTGAAAAAGCTTGAACATTAACATATCAATGTCTTAGTAAAACCTTGTCTATAGTGTCTTTCTCTAGGAATCATATACTGAGGTTTAATTTGTGTGTTCTCTTCATGGAATTTTGTTATTCTTCTGTGTCTTCTTATTTCTTTATTTTGATATAATTGTTTTTCTAATTAATTAATATTATAGAGTTCTTTTTTGCTGTGCTATGATTTGATTTCCTTCTAATAATTTGTGGAAATCTATTGTACTGCAGTTTAATTCAAGTAGTTATGACCTTCATCAAATATTTTCCCCAGGTCAGAATATGTCTTACCCTCCATATCATGTTCATATGTATCTGTTTACTTTATAATTTCGTACTTTTGCTTCATTGGTAAATGTTAATAGACTGGCAAATTTTATTGGTGTTTGCCATGTACTCGTTAACTTCTACAATCTTGATTAGATCAATATTTAGATACTGACTTAAGGTTACTTTGTGTTGGAATCTAGGCATTCATGAACTTCTTGAGAAAGAGCACAGATGGATTTAGCATTGGCAGTATTCTCCTTGATTTTTCTGGAGGGGTCTTAAATTATTCACAAATGGCCGTTCAATCCATAGATCAAGGTTTGTGATTTTTACAAATAGTTATTTATCAGATTTTATCCTTGAATGTGTATAATGAATTTTTGCTTCATCTATATCTAGGTTCCTGGGTGAACTTCTATGGAAACATTGGGAAAGTACTTATATCCTTGGTATGTAATCCTCTGCTACTCCATACCCTTCTTTGAAAAAATGATTCATGTCTTGTTCATCTCACAAAGTAAATCACGCATTAAGTATTACATTTCAGTTCTTTAGTTAGATAGAATAAAACTTATTGAACATATTATACTTTATTTTTATTACATATTTTCAAGAAGTAGCCTCAGAAGATAAATAACACAATGTATGCAATAATTAATTTCCTAGACTCTGAATATTATGAAAGAGGTTTGTTAAATGAGTTATGCAGTAAAGGGTAAAGCCATTAACGTTTGTGAATATCATTACTGTCATTGACAAAGGAATTCTGATTTGTTTCATATTTTTTTCCTTGCAAAAACAAAACACCATGCAGGTATCTATATTCTATGATTCTATTTTTATGTGTCAACATTATGTATTATACCGTGACAAGAAAGGACTTGCTTTTAAAAGTCCCGAAGAAGTCGATCAACCACTAATCTATTCAAGTCCAATAGATCAACAAATCAAAGATTCTGTTAAATCTTCACATCAGTCTCCAGCTGAAGTATGAGGTATATATAACTTGGAGCATGCAGTGCAGTAAAGACCTGTAAAAAAACATTTCAGAAGAGGTCAACTCTTTAAATGAATATCATTTATTAGTACTTAATCTTTTTTTGCATAATGACACTGTGGGTTCACAAAATATAGTGTATAATATGCAAATGCTTGTATTTTTTAATTAGAAGGAATATTTGTTTGTTTGACAGAATTAGTTTATGGTTATCTCAATACTAATCCACACAATAACAAGTAAAACAATACTCATAAACACAAATATAAAATATATATAGTTATGAAAAATATGGTGTTACAGAAATTATTTTTAATGTATAGATTTAAGTCTACTAATTTTTAAAAAAATTTGAAAAATATATGATATTTCGTTATATAAATTCAAATTAATATATACAAATTTTTATAATTATTCGTTAATTTAAATTAATGAAAGAAAATATTAAATATTTTTTAATTTTTTCTAATTTATAAACTTAATTTATACATTAAAAACTTTTAATTTAACGTTTGAATCTCTAGAATTTAATATAAAATAAGAGTTATTAAATGAAACAAATCTACAAAACTTACTTTTAGAATAAATATATATATATATATATATATATATATATATAATATCATATTCAATGAACTTTTATTATATTTAATGATATAATTTAAGTTAATCGTATATTAATCTGAGCAAGTGCTATAATTAATATATAATAAATAATATTGACTTCCCAATATCATTAAATATTTTCTTTTTTTTCAATATAAAATACATATGAACTAAAAATAAGTTTGGATGATTTAAACTTTCAACTCCCTTTGTTCACTCAAAAAGCAAGAGAACATATTATTTCCCTTTTTCCATAAAGACACAAAGAAATGGTTTCCTGGAACTAAAAATATTTATTTTTGTGGTCCTATTGCGTTTATGGTTGCAACATATTACAATATTAACTTTTACATGATTATAATTAAATCACTAATCAATTATATATTTTTACATCAATGATATATGTTTTTATTAATATTACATAATAAAATCTTTAACATGGAATAAAAAGAAAATATATGTATTAAAGTAATAAAAAGAAAGTATAAAAAATAGAAGAAATAAAACAAGATATATTGTAATACAACTATATAATGGTCGATGAAAAGACATGGAGTGGTGCATAAAAGAAAAACATAGTTAAAAAGGAAGACACGATGACACTGAGAAAATTAAAGATTAAGATTCAAAATTCAAAAGTCCAAAATGTTGCAACATATATCACCAAATCTCCAACCTCCTAGTCTTCAACCTTTGAAATGCTTTTTCTTTTGTCTCATACTCTTTTGTGTTGGTTTACTTTATATAAAATAAATTTAGAGGATGACATCTTATTGAAGTTTAACTTTTATTGATATTAAGAGCATCGAAAAATCTAGATATATATATTCAAAATTAACATATCCCACTGTACCATACTCGTATTGGACAAAATAAATTTTTATTTTTAAATAGAATAGTTTTCGATATTGGTCTGATACGTATCCTAGAAGTATCGAATACATATCTGATACTTATATGTGTTTTAGAGGATCAATGGTAAACTGACTGGTGGAGGCATAAACACCTCTTCTTGCCTATTTGAATCATCCATAATCTCGTCATTTTTTCCTACACACAAATAAAATCATATATAGTTAGAAATTAAATTATGATGGTAGTATACATTCAAAGAACTACACTTACTTTCATTCACTATTCTTTCTGGATGGTTATCGACATGTATGTTCTTTTCAACAAAGAGTTTAACTTTGTTGTAATGATGCATAAGTTTCTATGATTATTTAATGATATAACTTCATTATTGTAATAACTTATTTTGTTCGAAAAATGTTAAAATTAAGAAAAATACAAAAAAAAAAAAAATATAACAAAATAAAAATCAAATTATTTAAAACACAAAAATAAAAAATAGCATATCTTGAAACAAAGAACAAAAAAAAAATATAGAAAACAAGAGACCATGATCTCACTATTTTCAGTTTGATTCAAAGCCTATTTTCTTTTGTTCCCTTAAATACCATTTTGGTCTAGGCATATCAACTTTGTAGGCACATCTCTTGAGACACCTAACTATTATCTTTTGTAAGAGACAAACTTTATTTTGTGAACATGCACAATAAAATTAAAAACAAAATATAGAAAATAAAATCACAAAGAGTGTTACGAATATATAAAGGGACTCTACATATGTGATCATGGGTTAACATAAATGGTCTCGGAATATGCCCGAGCTTGAATTCTCCATGACTCAGGTTTGACTCCCCTTGCGACCATTACAATCCTATTTTAATTGACATACCTACTTATGGATCTCCTACATTACTAGGCATACCTACTCAGGATCTAATCCTTTGGTGTTAAAGGTGAAATTCCTTTGGTTTTGTCTAATTACTAAGTGAATAGTAGTGTTTGGTCTAACGATTCCCAATATGTTATTGACTCCCTACTTAATAGTTTTGGAGGTGTCATCCCATGTCTACCATTATTACTCATAAAAAAATGGAGTTTGCATATTAGAGAGAGGGGAGGATGATCCTTACCTATTTATCACTCCACAAGCATTTCTCTCAACTTTGATTTGTCTTAAAGAAACAAAGTACAACTTCTCTGATAAAGGATAACCATGACACTCTTTGCATTCCACAAAGAAAAATATGCCATATTGGTAAGGTAAAAACACCAAGATGTAAGGAACCAACTACTTTAAACCTCCATGACAAAAATAGAATAGGGAGTGATCAAACCACCATACAAATATGTTGGGATTCCCCCCTTAATTGATGAAACATTTCATGAAAAGTCATCTCTTAATGAAAAGTCATTATTCACGAAGAATTATTCAAGAATAAAGAGTTAATCATAAATGAAGATTATATCTAGGATAACAATGGGGCTCGTGGGGGCGGGTAGTAAGGTCCCTGTCCTTGCCCCGCTAAATAAAAATCTACTCCATACCCACCTCGTTCCTATGCAACTATCCATTAAGTAGTGTTGATAGTTGCAGATATCCATAGATATCTGTGAATTTTTAAAAAAGCTATCATTTTTAAAAAAAAAAAATTATTACAAATAAATTTAAACTTGTATTTGACATTAATTTTATTGAATATTAAAGATAAATAAATGATATTAATTTTTGAACTTGCATTTAACATTAGTTTTGTTGAAATATTAAAAATAATATAAAAAAAACAAGATAAATATATGGATGCTTAAGTAATTTTACTTGCAGGTACTCACATCTGTGGATACTACCATACTCGTCCTACCTTATTAATAAACAAGTAGAAAAATATTTGAACCCGTTACTCACGAGTATTTATTTAGGCTACGCATTCATTATCCATGGTGATTTTATCCACAGATAACCGTAGGTATAGGTTTTTTTTTTGCATCCTTAGCTAGTTTTATCTCATGGAGAGCCATGAATGAAGATTCGCAAATGGAGAGCTATGAATGGAGAACCACGGATAAAGATCCATGAATGAAAAGCCAAAAATGAAGGGTCATTCCATCCCCCTATGAATAGAGAGACTAGTGATGAGGTTATTGATTCTATCTAATCTATTCTAGAATTATATAATCCTCTTTGAGAAAAAGAGAGAATTAGAGTGAAAAAGTTCTTTTATTCCTTTTTGAGAGAAAAAAAGAGTTATTTCCACCATACTTGATGAGAATTAAGAGATAGGATAAGATTCTTTGCGTGGTCCTCTTGAGAAAGAGAGACTATTTGTAATCCTACTTTCATAGTGGAGATTATTACTAGACTAGATTTTGTGATTTTTTCTTGCTCACATTTAGAAAGCTTTCCACATAAAAATTTTGGTGTTATTTTTATACTCCTTATTTTTATTTTGCTTTCACATAGTGCTTATTTTGTGTTCACAAATGTGGGAACTAAATCTATTAATTCTAACAATGGTATTAGAGCTTGCCTAATTGGGCAAGTTTTTAGCTTGTGTAACTTAAAATGGAGGGAACAATTGCTTATGATAGAGATATATTCGAGTTAACTACAAATAATTACTCACAATGGAAACCAATGATGGAAGATCCCCTATAGTACAAGGTTTTGTATGAGCTAATCATAAGTCAAAACAAGCCAAGGAAAAAGACTGACAAAGGTTGGGAGTTTCTAAATCACAAAGTTGTTGTTATGATTCAAAAATATATTGATCGAAGTTTTTTTGAACATGCATCGATTTATACCAATGCATATGAGTTATGGACAAAGGTTGAATCTATGATTCAAAAGAAGACTCCAAGGAACAAGGTTCATTTTGTCAAGAAATTGGTGAAGTTAAAGCACTTCGAAGGTAAGAACATGATTGAACACTTAAACACTTTTAAAGGACTTGTGAATCAATTGATGAAGGTAGAGATGAAAATTGATGATGACGTACAAACTTGTTTACTCCATTTTTTTCTTGAGAGTTGGGAAACATTCGTTGCCACTTTTAGCAATATTGTTCCAAGTGGACAACTTAGCATGGATGATGTTGTAGATTGTTTGCTAAATGAAGAGTAAATATGAAGAGAAAAAGGCTCAAGTAGCTACTTTGAAGTCAACTTGTTGAGAAGAGAGGGAGGAGTGAACAATGGGGAAAAGGAGGAGGCCATGGGAAATACAAAAGAAGATCCAAGTCTAGAACCAAAAGCCTAACTTGTTTTCATTGTGGCAAAGATGGTCACAAGAAGTTAGAGAGTAGATTCTTGAAGATAGATTAGAAAGTTGGAACAATCCATCTAATCAAATAAAACCTAAGAAGAAAATGGAAAAAAAAAACAAAATAATATGGCGGTCGTCTTAGACAATGAGAACATTTTTCGTATTGGTAAAGCAAAATTATTTAAATGTTGCATTTGATGATTATATTTGGGTAGTTGATTCGGGTGCATCATTTCACATCACATTGAATGAATAATTTTTCTTATCATATTAAAAGGGAGACTTTGATACAGTGAAGATGAGAAATCATGTCACAAGTAAGATTATGGGCATAAGGGAAGTAACTTTGATGACCGAGAATGTTAACAAGTTGGTACAGAAGGAGGTAAACATGTACCAAAGGTGCGTCTAAACCTTGTCTCAGTTAGAAAGCTAGATGAAGTTGAAATAATGAACCAATTTGGTGCTGGTAGATG